TGCATTTTGTCATCAGTTGTATACTCGTAATATCTGCCTCAGTGGCTGCCATTGGTTGCATTGTGAAAGCCGGAAGGAAGTAAAGGAAGCCGATACTACAAGTGGGGAGATAGTTATTCATTTAAAATTTTTACCTTGGGCAAAATGTGAGTAATAAACTAATAACTTTATACAAATTTCCAAAAATACCAAATGTGTTTTTTGCGTAAGCACTTCAGGAGATTATAAAATGTTATAAATGCATATGTATGTATGTGTGTGTGTACGATTTGACAATTTCATTTAATTAATTTGTGAGATCGGATAGATGCGAGTATTTGTTGCTAGAAGATGTCCACACATTTCTAAATAAAATTATCGATTGCACGTTCATTTCAGCACTAAGCGGACAGTCTCCTACTCAAAATATATATGTATAAGCGATAACTAAAAAAAGTTAATGTTAACGCTTACACCTTTTGCGAAGTGTTTCGTCGAGCTTCTTCGCACACAAACGAAGGGGCCTACAACAACACTTTTTCTAATTTTAGATGTTGTGCAGATCAGGGATCGAGCTCTGATCCTACTGTCCTTTCAGGTTCAGTGGCCATCGATAACTAATTAAAATATTATCGTACCGAGCTGCAGGAGTGAACAAATTGGAAATAAATCCAGAGTGAAGACAATCGCATACTTTAAAGTTGTATATCTCAGCGAAGAATAATAAAAATTGAACAAATAAAGACGACTTTTAAAGGCAAAGTGGTCTGAGAAAATGGCGCAATAAATTCATTATATCGACAGCTGCAACCGGGCGTTCTTGAGCTTTTTCTAAGATAGGACATTTCCGAGGCAGCTGCCAAGATAGGTCGATCTTCTACTCAGCCGTCGATATATTGTAAATATACAAAAGGAAAAAAAGAACAAAAATCATTCGAAATGTCCGTCTTTGGCCTTCACACAAGCCTTAAGTCGGAGAGGCTAATTGCCAATGGCGCACGCATCTCGTTCATTGCAAAATTGACCACAGCACGAATCGATGCTGTATTAACCCTTCTGCAGTGATTGTGTTAAGAGGATCAATGTTGGGGCATCTTTTGTGGCAATCCATATCCTCTAAAACTGTCCACAATTTGTAATCCAGCGGCTTAAGATCCTGCGCATAATCATGCTGGAAAATCAGCAAATGGTTTTGGAACAGAGAATGGTTAAGTGGCTTTACAATAGCTTCCAAAACGGTTTCTTGGTAAACTTTGGCCGATTTTGTGACCACTTGTTCGCAGAAACGCAAGTCAATGACCCCTTCGTCACCACCAAGCCATGACTATACCTGGTTGATGACCCTTTTCGTACCACAGATTAAGTTCAGATGCTTCCTTAGATGGCCCCTTTCATTTTGTTTGTTAAATTTTTGCTGCATGGTGAAAATTTGTTCGTGGGTAAACAAGATTTGTTTGTAACTATAAGTGATGAGCGAGCTTCACCAAAAGACGTTTACATTTTAACGTGCTATTTTTTTTTTGAAAGCGTCCGGTATGGTGTTGGAAAGCTCCAAGTCCAAAGTCTTTTTTTAATAATTCGACACATGTACTTTTGCGTTACATTCATCTCTCGGCTAATGATTTTATGATTTCAAAGCGGATTTCGCAAATTCTTGATTTACCAGCTTTGGTGACTTGCGGCGTTCGTGCACGGCTCGACCGGTGGCGGTCTTCAACATCTCCAGTCTCCGCAAACAGTTTTGTGCACAGGTAGACAAACATGCGACTAATCCCTTTTCATTTCACTTTTAAATAGAGCTATAACAAGCGATACGATTCTCGTTATCTCACCTCTCCATGGTGAGAATTGAAACTATTTTCAATTCGCAGTACAGACTAAAGCTTTACGGGTTATATTTCGGGGTATGTTCAACTGTTCTATTGTTCAGTGTTGTAACAGTTGTCGAAAATTTTCGGCAGTCTGCGCTATGCTAAGTACTTAACGTTAGTTCTTGGCAAATCTCTAAGCCGGTGTCATTACGTTAAAAATAGAAGTCATTGAAAATTTTTGAGGCCGTGGGAGAAGAAGTTTTTTTACTTAACTACCTTAAATTGTTTCAAATGTGATACATTTTAAAATGAGCGAATTATTTTTTAATTTTAAGGTGCGCTAGGTAGCTTTGTACCTTAAAAATAAGAAATAAGTGACTATTATTTTAAAATTGATCACGTTTGAAACTATTTTAAGTAGTTAATTGCAAAAAGGTACTTTGGTTTGCGCCACTTTTGCTCTTACAGCCTCACTTTTACATGCCATATTTAGTTGAAGAAAATGTTTTCTCATTTTTTCATTTAAATGCTTAATGGAAATTTTGCATGGCACATCACTATGAACCCAGCCAGCTACAATGAATACAGTTGCAGATAAATATATTTACATCGTTCACTATATAAATTTTCATTTAAATATAAACTTAATAAATATAAATTGCCTTTGTGGCAATAAAAATGAACGAATTTCCGTCATCCCTTGTCCACTTTGGTTTGAAATCACCAACAGGCTGTCGGGGAAAAACGTACAACCAAAAATAGTACATACTCGTAGCAATTTCCCAACCCCTTTACCATTACATTTATCTATCCATATGTTCATATCTTCTCGTAAAGGATAGAGTGATTTCCCCAAAAAAAAAAATAAAAACAAAACCACAGCCAAAAACTCAATTCAGGCACTACGCGACTGCGCCATTTTAAATATTTAACAACCAATTAAGAAAAATTAGTGCCATTTTTCGTTGCAACTTTTTACAGTAGAAGGTTTGGCAAATAAACCACTTCGTAATCGGTTTAGCGCCTGTGACAACTTTATCTACTCGTAGGTAATAAATTAAGTAAAAAATTGTAGATCAGCATGTAATGTCAAGACCAAAAACAACACGACGCCTGTTAATGGGTACAATGTTTACACATTTTTTGTGCAATTAAAATGCTGTTATTTGCTTATTCAACAACAATTTACATGTACACATACACAGTCAAAGACATACATACATAGTACGTTTGAAGGATCAGCAAGTGGGTGGACCAAACAGAGCCTTGTCGAGTTTTTAAACTTTTGCATTGAACTTTAAATGGCATTTGGCCTTCACCCTCACATTAATACGTTTATACTAAATGCATACATACGCACAACATATGTATGTAGGTACATTATTTTCGCTGTAAGTGTAGCTTCTGATTTGCTACAATTAATTTCATTTAAATATTTAAAAACATACTCAAACATGTATCATAAATATGACAAGCAAACAGCTGTGCGCCAAAGGTGAGTGGGTGAGAGAAGAAGAAAAAACATTCGATACATATGTACACACACACACACATGCCCACAAAACACAGCCACTTACCAGCATTTTTATGTGTGGTTGAGCACGAATTTGGCGCAAAACGCATTTTATACCCACATGAATACACATACATACACATACATACACACATATATATATATGAATTTTCATTTGTGTAATTTTGTGACAACAAAATGTGTATAAACAAAAATCGTATATTTATCCTTGCTTTCGGCACTGTCAAAGCGAAGATGCGGCGGCGACGACGGGTTTATCGTCTTTCTTTCTACAATTTTTTTTTTATTTTGCTTTTTGGCAAAAGTGCAAAGCGTCAGAATATTTGTGCCGTAAATATTACCAATCTGTTTATATTTGAAAATGTAGAATGTGCTGTACAGCACACGAATATGCATACATTGAATTTAAAAATAAATTCGCTGTCTAATAAGCCAAAATGATTTTGCGTTGTTTGCAGCAAAAAATCGTATGCGAAGTAAAGTGGCAAACAACCAAAAATAAAATGTGAATGAATATTAAATTTATGCGCTTGGCTAAAGGCGTTTTAACTTAATAATTACCCCTTTAGGTGGGATAATTTTTTTTTTTTTTTTCAGAATAAAAAACAAGAAAAGAAAGCACTCAAGTAAATGACCTGCAGCAGATACTTTCACAGCCATACACTTCAAGGCCGTTGATATGTCTGATGTTTGTTATTTACAGTTATTATGTTAACACAATAACGTTTAACTGCCGTTTTCTTTTGTTTTATCCAGCCATTGAAAGAGATAGTCTACTATCTATGAAATATCTATCGGCGCGGCCACAAAGTAATTCAATTTTCGACACCTTTTGGCTTTTGGACTATTTTTTTTTTTTTTTGTTGTGCGTTTGCGTCATTNCATTAGCACCTCGCAATTGTCGTTGTTGGGTAAGCACCAGCTAGCCATTCAGTCAAGGGTTAATTGCATAATTCAGCGTAAACGAGACGCTATCAAAGGCCTATTTATCGCTTCAGGACACACTTCGCTGCAAGGCATTCGCATTATTTGACTCAGCAAAGGTCATTCCAATTCATTTGTTTTCCAAATAAATGGTCGCTTTTGGGGGGGAAAACGTGCGGCGAAACAAAGAAATGGCTACTGGGACAATGGGCGCTTTAGTTTTTGTAAAAAGAAAAAAAATTTAGCCCGACAGGTAAGAAGACAAGTAAGCAAAGTAGATACACCCTCGTAGGGGGAATCGTCTTCCCAATACACCACCGCAATCAAGAAGTAAGTACATAGCAGGCATGAATCTTTAGACCTTATCCTGGAGTTCGTTTAGGCGACTGCTTAATCCGCTATGTCCTGCTAAGATACCTGCTGGAATAAGCTTATCAAATCTCATTTAGTATACTCCCAATGGCTTATTTGCCTGACCTTACCCAGAAGCTTGGTTTAAGTGCTGTTCTCTATTCTTTCATTCTTGATTCTCAAGCCCTTTTTTCCTATCAAAGTAAAAAGAAATCGGATAGGTTATGTCTTCAACTGGGTGAGAGAACTCGCACCATACATATGTACGTTAGGTTAGCTTGGGCAGCACTCCTCTGTGGCATTCACAGATTAGTTAATTTCAGTATATTTATAGAAGTTGAATCCCATTTCGTGTCTCTTTCTTTATGGCCAAATATTGTGACTTCGTAAATTCAAAATACTATCCGATCGAATGTTTAATATATCGATCAGTGCTGGTGCGCCAGTCCCTAGCTGCTAAGCTTTAAGCGGTAGATGCCTTAGGTGCCACATTTCCCACTGGCACTGCGTAGCAGCTCCTTTTGGGTACCATAGGCAATTCAAAACAAAAACATGAAATAAAAATAAAAAAAAAAGACATTTATTAAATGGCACAACAGCGCTGAGTTTGAGGTTGTCAAAAATTCTGCTCATATACGTTTCCGCTGTTGACCAACAGCGCCAACATACAGGACAAAGCTCAAGTGGCTACAATGCCACAGCGCTTGCCACAGAAGAGGTGAGTTTCTGGAGGGGGGAGGGGGGGGGGGGGGGA